TGGCCGCACTAGAGTGCGAGGACCCTGAGCGTGAGCTGAAGAAGCAGAAGCGGGCGGCCCGCTTCCAGCACGGACATTCCCGCCGCCTGCGCCTCGAGCCCCTGGTGCTGCAGATGGGCAGCCTGGAGAGCAGTGGTGCTGACCCAGACTGGCAGGAACTTCAGATCGTGGGCACCTGCCCTGACATCACCAAGCACTACCTGCGTCTCACCTGCGCCCCCGACCCATCCACTGTGCGCCCTGTGGCAGTAAGTGCCTGGGATGGGCAAGTCCTCCCTGCAGGGCGGCTGCTAGCACGAGGCCGTGGCAACCACACGGGAAGGATGGCAGAGACTGCACCCGAGGCTGTGGTGTGGTGGGAGGGGCCTGGGAGCTCTGTGAGAGGTGACTTGAGGACAGAACTTGTGTTTGGAAGACTAAGTCCGGGTCGTGTGGCCTCATCGGGAGACTTGCTCTGAGCCTCCATCTCCTCAGGAAGCGGCCTTCCCAGGCCAGCTTGTCTGAGGCGGGGACGATCAGGCTCCCGTGTCCTTTGGCTGAGGCCGCAGCAGCAGCATGGTTCATGTTCCGTCCCAGGGGACACACTGACGTGGGCAGCTGAGGTCGGGAGTGGTTACTCTTGCCAGATGTGTTGGGTTCTTTTTAAAGTCGGTAGTTAAGTTATGAAACGAGTCTGATGTTGCCGCCTTCGTGTTAGAATACTGAGTTGGGGGAGGTGTAGTGGGTTTTAGCGATGGCTTTGCTCACTCTGCTGAAATTTTTCTGAGCCATCGTTTGGTTTCCTTCTCAGGTTTTGAAAAAGTCTCTGTGCATGGTCAAGTCCCACTGGAAAGAGAAGCAAGACTACGCCTTTGCCTGCGAGCAGATGAAGTCGATTCGGCAGGACCTGACGGTGAGGGGGCTGCTGGGAGGGCCTGTGGTGGGAGAGCCCCGCCCTGCGGTGGCCTCACTGCTCTCCTGCCGTTCCAGGTGCAAGGTGTGCGGACGGAGTTCACGGTGGAGGTGTACGAGACGCACGCCCGCATCGCCTTGGAGAAGGTGAGTGCGGTGCTGAGGCCCGTCCGGGTTCTTCCTGGGCTCCCCGTCCCGGCCTCACGGTCTCTCTCTCCGTGCCCCGGGCTCCAGGGCGACCATGAGGAGTTCAACCAGTGCCAGACGCAGCTCAAGTCGCTGTACGCCGAGAACCTGCCAGGCAACGTGGGCGAGTTCACTGCTTACCGCGTCCTCTACTACATCTTCACCAAGAACTCAGGAGGTGAGAGAGGCTGCCGGACGGACGGACGGGGTGGCCCCAGGCCCCCGGGGTTGGGCGGTACCGATCCTCTTCTGTCTCGGGCCGCAGACATCACCACGGAGCTGGCGTACCTGACTCGGGAACTGAAGGCAGACCCCTGTGTGGCTCACGCCTTGGCACTGAGGGCGGCCTGGGCTCTGGGCAACTACCACCGCTTCTTCCGGCTCTACTGTCATGCACCCTGCATGTCTGGGTACCTGGTGGACAAGTTTGCAGACCGGGAGCGCAAAGCTGCCCTCAAGGCGATGATCAAAACGTATGTGAAGCTGGGTTCTCCCCTGCTCCCTCTGCTCTGCCGGCCCCGCCGCTGCCTTCTTTCCCCACTTCCCTCCTCCCTCTGCACACTCGTGGGCTGTCCGGCTTCCAGCTCCCGTGCCCTGGACACTGGTCCTCTGTCCCCATGTCTTCTTTCTACACGTACCCTGCTCCCCAGCCCCTCCCACTTCCCTTCCCACTGTTGGCCCTCTGTCTCCCTAGGCCTGCCTCTGCATCTCCCTTCTTCCCCATTCTGTCTCGCTGCTCCAGGGTTCCCTCTCCACCCCCGAGTCTCTATTTCTCCTGCTCGCGTCACCCTGGACCCTGGTTTGTTTTCTTGCTCTGGGCTCTTGGTTTCCTCCCTCGGTCTCTGTTCACCTTTCACGGCTCTCCTGACATTGAGTCCCACTCGGTAGAGACAAACTAGGAAAGATGGCTGTGCTCTTGGTAGCTTCTGATCTAACGGGACCAAGACCCCATTCCAACTCGAGCTACTTTAAGAGGATAGAAAACATGTAGGGAGGCAGGTGTGATGTGGGCACAAGCCAGATCAGGGACTGTGTGTAAAAAGAGTAAGCTCTCTGTACGTTAGTTCCCTGTGTTGCGTGTGTGTGCATGGTGGGCAACTTGTGGTTCTGCCGGGGGTGAGATGCCCCGGGTGACGTAAGGAGGTGTCAGGTGACCTCTTTTGTTGGCACAAGTAGGGGCTGCTACTGGTGTCCAGTGGGTAGAGGCTAGGGATGCTGCTCAGCCTCCTGCAGGGCCCAGGATGCCCCACAACAGAGAATCGGCCCCAGTGTCAGTCTTGCCAAGGTTGAGAACCCTCAGTCAGAGGTTGGTAGGTCCAAGGGGCCACATTAGTTAGCTTAGGAGCCACAGGAATGGTGTCGGACTGGGGAGGGACAGTCACACTGAAGTTAGGAAACACACTCCAGGATCCGATTTGGGTCCAGATTTAAGGCAGAGGCTGAGCCAGGGCAGGAGCCGCAGAAGTAGACAAGGATGTGGGACAGAAACGTGAAGGCGACAGGATACACAGGATCTGGTTATCTACCTGGGAGTGACGGGGAGGTGGGCTGTCTAAAGGCCCCGTGGGCTGTCCCGGAGTCTGCCCTCCGCAGCGGGATAGCAGCTCCCAAGCTTCTGTGTGGCTCCCAGGGGTGTCGTGTGGGCCGGTCACTGTTGTGGTTAGTTCATATGTGCTGGGTCTTGGTTGGGGCCACCGCTGTGAAGGTGCCTTGTAGGAGGGGCCTTGGCCTACACTGGCCACCCGCTCTCATTCCCCCCGTCCTTAGCAGACGAGCCCCTCCCTCCCAGAGCCCCCGAACAGGTTTTTGCAGGGTGGCCAGGAGGCCAGCTCCCTTGTGGGGAGAAATAGGCTCTCTCGTGCTCCCATGGATATCCAGAGCTGTGATGGAGCGCGGGCTCGAGGCAGGACTGGGTCACGTCCTTTGTGCGGCATCCTCCCTGTGTGATGCCGGCCAGGTGGCTTTGCCTGTGGAGCTCGGTTCCCTCAGCGTCTGTTTCTAAAGGGTAGGGGGATGCAGTTTCTGGGAGAGAATTCAGCAGGTTAACAGCCAGTTGCCAGCACACGCGAGTCTTCTTAGCAACTGCAAGTGACTGTTGCCAGCGTGTAACAGGCGTTGGCTGACCCTGTGCCGGGCATTCCTGAGGCACTTTGACCCAGGCAGGGGGCACAGCCAGGGTGGGTCCCCCAGAGTAGCTGTCAGACCTGCCAACCCATGCCCACCCCCATCCCCTCGGGTCACTCCCTCTGCCTGGCCCCCTGCCCTTGGGCCACAGCGGGCCCTCTTCTGAGGGACTGCTCAGGCCCTTGAGCAGCGGAAGAGCCAGCTGGGCCCTTCCCTCCCATCCCCTCTCCTTGGTCCCCCCGTACAGGTAAGTGAGGGTGAAGGGGGGCACAGCCGGGGCTGGGGCCACCAGCCCCACCCCGGGCCCCCCCAAGCCCTGGAGGTGGGGAGGCTGGGTGGGGAGGGGTAAGAGGTCAGGTAACGTGCTGAGGAAACCCTTTGGGTGCCCTAAGGGGGGGCACCCACTCCCTGCTCGTGGGGCCCTCCCCTGCCCGCCGCCCGCCTCATCACATTCTCCTCTTGTCTCCGTAGCTTCCGCCCTGCGCTGCCAGTCTCCTACCTGCAGGCCGAGCTGGCCTTCGAGGGCGAGGCCGCCTGCCGGGCCTTCCTAGAGCCCCTGGGCCTGGCATACACGGGCCCGGACAACGCCAGCATCGACTGCCGCCTCAGCCTGGCGCAGCTGTCAGCCTTCTGAGCACCAGCGCGGATGGGGGCGGGGTGGGGGCAGGGCTGTGGCCCCCCAGCGCCACCTTTGCCGATTTTGTTTTTGAGCCATGGACTTGGGTTGTAAATTAATTCGTGGGGAGTGGGCTCCAGGAAGAGCCACCATCCCTGTCCCCGTTTTCCTACCGGGGAGTCTGTACAGAGATTTTTTCTACATTTTTATTTTTTGCCTCAGAGGGACGGGATTGGGGGAGGAGGGGGTGGGACAGCGGAGGGTTGGGGGCGTGGTCTGTAGGCTGCTCTGTGTCCAGCTGGCACCCCCACTAATGCTGTCTCAGTGTTTTCTCTCTCTCTCTCTCGAGCTTGTACTCCGGTACCGACCTGGCACCCTGGCCCATCCCATGCCGGGGGGGCCAGAAGAAGACAGGCCGCTCCGCCCGTGCCCGCCCCGGCGGGGGCACCAGCACGCAGCCCGCCACCCGCCACCTGCCCGCCTCACCACAGACTCTTGTTGCCCAGCCCTCCGGGGCCTCAGTGTTCGGGGCTAGGGGAGCTGTGTAGAGACTGTGCCCCGCCCTCAGCCCCCCACGCCAGAAATGCCGCCGCCAAGCCGCCGGCACGTCCACGCCGACCCTGCGCACTGAGGACTCCGGAGGCCATCGCGGGACCTCGGCCGGGCCGCCTCGTCCGCAGTTGTATTAAGTTGTCTCCGTGTCCCTCCTCCCTCCACCCCCGTGTTTCTTCTGTTTTTTTTTCCTTCCCTCCCTCCTCCTCCTGCTTCCCACCCTTCTTTGGTTCAGCACAGGTAAAACGGTTACCCTCCCTCCCTTGCCTTCATGGATCACCAGCTCACGTCATGTTTCCTTCTCTTTTCTTTTTGTGTGTGTTTATTTAAGTTATTTTTCTTCCTCCCCTTTTTCTTTTTGCCCCCCCCCCTTCTGCCATGTAACTGGAGGATGTGCGATGAGTTGGCAAACAGCTGGACTGTCAGGCTGCTTTTTTTCCAGATGTTCCTCCTCTGCTTCCCTCCCTTCCCTCTCCCCCTCCCTTCTCCTTCCTTCATTCTTTCCTTGGATCACTGAGCACCATTTGGAAGCTTGAGAGAAACCAAAATTAAAGAGAGAGAGAGAGAGAGAGCACTTTGTCCCTTCCTGCTTGGCCCTGGATCTTCCCAGGTTCTTTGGGGTTGAGCGCGGTCTCCTGCAGAGGTCTGGGGGGACCGTCATCCCAGGGGCAGCTCAGCCAGAGGCTGGTAGGTGTCCCCTGCCCTGCCTATGCGGCACAGCCAGACTTCCCCTAGGGTCTGGCTCCCCAGCTCCTGCCTTGGGCTGAACCCAGGCTGCGGGAGGCCGACTTGCGATCCGTGGGGCACCTTGGCTAGGGTGAGGTGGGGGTGTAGCCCCTCCAGGGGCTGTACTACTCTGAGCCCCTCGGCTTCCAGCCTCTGTCTCAGCACTTGGGCCGTATCTTCCAGGGAGGGGGAGGGGGGGGCACAGAGCACATGCTGCCCCAGGAGAAGCAGGCTCCTAAAGCTCAGCTGCGGGGGTGCCTGAAATCCTGGGGCCAGGAGCGCGCGTCTTAGTGCACCCACTGCGGCGGCTACCTCCCCGGGGCCTGTCAGCCTCAGGAGGGCTAGTGTCAGGTGTAGGGCCCCCGCGGGTACCACGAACGCAGCACACGAGGGTGCGGCTCGAACCAGCTCTTCCTGGGCCTTGGCCACCCCCGCCTGCAGCCCGGGATCAGTCACCATGAGAGCCACAAAATGCGTGGGGCGGGGCTGGCGAGGCGCGGCGGCCCCGGCTCCAGCCGTCCCTCTGCCTTCCGAGGGCCAGGCGCCAGGACCCCACTCTGCTTCCGTCTCCGGAAAACCTCGTGCGGGGGTTCGTCCCGGCGCTGCCTGTGCCGCCCCACTGTGTGGCTCCGTGGCCCTGCCCGTGGCGGCCGGCTTCAGCACCCTTTCCAGCGCTGTCCACGGGGAAGCCTGGCCTTCGGCCCTGCGCCGCTCCCTGGCCTCCAGCCCGGTTCCGGTGTCAGCGGGAGCGGCAGCGACCCCTCCGTGCGCGCCCCCGCCGCCGCGGGCGTCCTCAGCGCTGCGCGCGCCCCCGCCGCCATGCGCGTCTGCGCCGTCGTGCGCGTCCTCGCCGCCGCCGTGGGTGACCTCACATCCGTCGTGCGCGTCCTCGCCGCCGTCGTGCGCGCCCCCGCCGCCCAGCGCGTCCAGGATGGTGGGCCCGCGGCCCGCCGCCGAGCCCGAGCCGAAGACGAGGTCGGTGCGCGAGGCGCGGTCCCACACGATGCGGCCGCGGAAGCGGAAGTAGCGCACCCGGTGCTGCGGCACGGCCAGGACTCCGGGCCCAAGCGCCGCCAGCGGCTCGTCCCAGCAGAAGGCGCCGAAAGGCTCCTCGCGCACGCCTAGGAAGCGGTCGGCGTAGCCCACCGAGAAGTCGGCCGGGTCGAGGCGCGGGTCCCAGCGGATGCGCTGGATGACGGCCGCGGCCGTGCGCAGCGGCGGTTTCTTGGCCCCGGCCCCGGCCCC